GAAAATACTGAATAACAAACCCTTAGATTGAATAACAGACCCTTAGAAACATGGTCAGATCAGAAATCACACGTAGATTTTCTTAGAGCGATCGGAAGCAAGGGAATTGCGGAAGTCCTTGATAAGAGGAAAAATCGCGGTAAATTTGAGGAGATGAATTCGTCTTGGTCGGATATAATAACGTATTTAACGTATCTGTGGAGACTAAATACAAAAACGGCAATCAAAGCACGCGATGTAAGATTTATGGAAACGTTAGATTCAGAGAGAATTACAGATGAATTATTATTTCCGTTGCCATTATTCAATAAAAATGATAAAATAAGGTCTACAGAAGAAGAAGAAAGGAACTAGATACAGAAGAAGAAGCGGAATCCAAAGAGATAGACGAAACACCGGTATCCAAAAATAAAGATTTACAACGTGGATGTGGAAGACCAAAAATATTAATATTAAGAACCGGAAACAGAAGTAGGCCAAGAAAATCTTTCCAATCAAAAGAAACGTGTCTAAATAATGTAAACGAAGCAATGGAAAGAGAGGATTCTGATTTATGACTAGATGCAATGAATGTTGAATATGAAACATTGTGCAGAAATAAAACGTGGATACTCGTTCCGAGACCCAAAGACAAGAAAGTTCTCACTAATCGATGGTTTTTAAAAATAAAACACGACGAAACGGTTCCGTAAATAAATACAAAGCAAGATTGGTCGCAAGAGGGCATACACAACGTAAAAGAATAGACTACGAAGAAGTTTTCGCTCCTGTTGCACGATACGAATTAATAAGAACATTATTAGCGACGGCTGTGAATTATGAAATGCACGTACATCACATGGATGTCATATCAGCATATGTTCAAGGAGATTTAGCCGACGAAGTATACATGGAACAGCCCGAATTATTTGTGAAATCCGGAGAAGAAAAGGTGTGCAAATTGATAAAACCGTTATATGGACTGAAACAATCTAAACGTGAATGCCAAAAAGTTAAATAATTATGTCTTAAAGAAAGGAGCCTATAGCATATAGCATATAGCAGATCCCTGTGTATATGTTTTTGGGAAAAACGAAAAAATGATTGTAATGATTATTTATGTAAATATAATATTAGCTTCTGAAAGTTTAGGGAAATTAAATGAAATAAAATGTATGTTTAGGACAGAATTTGACATACAGAAAACAGACCTGGGACCAATAAAATAAATTTTGGGTATGACAATTGGAAAAAATGAACTAACAGTGTATTGTGACAATCAGTGCGCGATTGAATGATCGAAAAATGCCGTTTTCCACAAGCGTAGCAAACACATAGATATTAGTTACCACTATACACGTGAATTGGTAGAAAAAGGTGAAATAAAAGTGAATTACTTAAGGTACTGAACGTATGACAGTGGACATATTAACTAAAACATTGCCAAAAATTAAACATAGAGACTGCGTACGTATGCTTAATTTAGAATGATTAGTCCGCGAAAAGCATGTCATCGATAGGGAGAGTGTTGGAATATATCGATGAATGCTGTGAGTTGTGTGAGTGTGATTGTCTTTTGTCAACTAAACAAGTGAACACTGGCTTCGCGCGCAGTTAATCTCAAGGCGTTGCCCAAAACGTACTTATATTCAACTAGTATATTCTTATTAAATAATTACGTATTCTTATTAAATAATTAAATATAAATAAACTCTGATACAGGCAAATATACTAAATATTTTATTTGATTTTGACGCCTTGATTGCGTGATTATTATTAACGAAAAATTTTTATATAGAAATTGAATGGTTTGAGAAGAACTTATTGTGTTCTTAGTTTTTTTGCAGATAGACGCGTAAAGATCATTCTGTTTTGCCAATTCTGTTTTCTTAAACAGATTTATTTTTGTGTAGCTTTTTATTTTTTATAAAAAAAAGTATCAACCTATTTATGTCAAAAAATTAATAGTATAAAAAAGTTTAAAAATAGTATGAACACAAGAATACTGCTTCTATCTCTCCTCGTTTTTCATACTATTTTCATACATTTTACAGACTTATTGTTAAGATCGTCCTAATATGTCCTCCTCAATACTATCCAATTTCCATATAAAAATTTTTTGCTAATAATAGCCACGCAATCAAAATAAGATATAACACCCTGTATACTATATATACAATGAATATATTCTTTTTATATACAATATATATTTTATTTTATATACAATATATTTTAATTATATAATACAGAAATATATTTTAATTACAAAAATTATTAAATAAATATCACACACACGTGTGTGTGTGGGGGGGGGGGTGTGCGTGCGTGCGTGCGTGCTTGCATGCGTGCGTGCATCTTCATATATATATATTTTTTTTATTGCTTTATATCATAAGGCTTATGAAATCCCTGATTGATGAGATTTTTTACAAGCTCACTAGCAATAACTTGTATCAAAGCATGTGCTTTCAAGTGAAGATTTAATGTAAATTAATAAACTATTAATCCAACCATTGGAAATCACGACTTAAAATTAAATTACGATTTAAAATTTCTCATAGACACAAGCCTCCATATGCCAGAGAACATGCTCACATGCAAGAAAATAATTAAATTTATTAATAGCGTGCTATATAAACTTTCTCTGACTACGAAATGTAAATATAAACATATGATTTTTTTATAATATATATGTTTATTTATAATATATTGTAGTATATTATTATAATACTATAAATAAAATCAGTTGAAAATTAATAAAAACTTAACATTATTTTCTAAAAGATTATTTTCAACTCATGGTTCCTCTAAAAATTTTTATTCTTGCAACAAGTAGAATAACATGCAGCAAAAAAATTTGATCTTGAAAATCATGCTCAATTTTGCAGATTTTGCTTCTCCAAATGTGTAAAATCGTCTGATATAAAGCTATGTTAAATAATTTTAATTCTCTCTTCTGAATATAAAATATTTTCAAAAATTTTCAAAAATATCATTATTTCTTATTTAATTGTACATTTTAATGCTATATTTTTATAATAATTCACTATTCATTTCACTTGGCAATTAATGTCAGATTAAGCTATCGAAGATAAGAAACAATTTGTGTACAGTATACCAGATTCTGTGCAATATAACTTCTATGCAATATTTATAATATATAATTAATAATAATAATGATGATGTATATACTTATTCAAACATTTCAATAAACTTAAATGCATTTGTATATCTTTGTGTATCTTAATAAGTGCTAATAATATCTTAAGATTATTAAGATACACAAAACTTAACGAAGATTATGATTTTATATAACTATTCGTAGCAGCGTGAACAGTTTATCACGAAATTACGATGTTGTCCGTCAAATTAATTTTATGATTAGACAGTTAATTTTAAAATGCGTCACGAAAGATAGACGTGCAACTGATCGTTCCGAATTCCAATTTCGAATGATTGGTGAAAGATTGTCGAAGGACTAGCGAATGTCAAGAGAATGACTGGCTGACTAGTGGAAGTATACATATACATATTTGCATTGAAAAGTTGAATTGAAAGCGCATTGATTGAATTAGCACAAAATTATTTTACAATCACATTACAGCATGCTTTCTTGCTGTGCCTCACACTTCTAAAGGAAGTTTCCTTTAGGATGTAATAATGTAATGAGGCTTTCGAACTTCAGGAATCCGCGAAGATTTCTTCCAGATGGTATATATGTAAACCATTTAAAATAGCTATTGGAAACAGAACCAAACCAAGTTTATTGTAATGAAAGATTAGTTAGTATTCTCAAAAATATTTTTTCAAAAATAGTTATTTTCATACGAACGCCCATGTATCTGATTCCGTGCATATTAGCTGCATACTGCCTATTGCACACTGACTATAAAGGGACTATCCCTTCAATTTAAATGCATTGTTACTCTCAGAATAATATTCAGAATGTTCAGAAAGTGATTTGTATCGATTGGAAGTTACGATAAGCGATCTACCAGAGTCGGATGATTTGTCTCTTATCCTGAGCCAATGAAAACTGAGAAAATTTCTTCGTTTTCTTTTCTATCGATTTTTCAAACATTTTTGGGCTCCAAAGTGAGGGCATATCATCAACATCATTTATCAATTTCGTGTGGAATGCGTTTCGTTTAAATACTTTTAGAAACTTCCCTTGAGAGGATGCCACATGGACTATGGCACACTGTATCTTATTGGGATACACACGGACATAACTTTTGAGTGATCTGATCCTCCAGTTTTAATAAGCCAGTCAGACCTCACTCCTCTTGCTGATCTTTCTTTTCGAAAATAACGTAATATTTCAGCCATACCATAAATCAAGATAATCGAAGACAATCGAACAGATACACCGAAGTTCGCAAACAGGTACTATTTATAATAAATAATATATCAATGATTGAAAATTTCTTAAAAATTTATTTCATGATCACGTGATTATATGAATATGTATATGTATATCAAAATAAAATAAAATTGCTGTCTTATTCAACTTTAAATTTATTATTTCTAAAATGTTTATACAGCTACTCAAAATAAAATTGAGTTTACACTTATCTTAGGAACGAAAACTACCGAAAAAGTACATAAAGATTAACGCATATTTGAATGTAAAAATGTAATATATATTTATTTATTCTTTTATATTTATTCATTTAGTTTAGGAAAAATTATTAGAAAAATGTTTTATATAATATTAATTGTTTATTTATATTTAATTGAAAATGTCAAAATACTGGTATTTTTCGCATATAAAATTAAGCATACACATACTAAAATTATTTATTTACACAAAATTAATTTCTTGTTGTATAACAATTATTTTGTTGTATAAGTTTGCAATCATTTTGGCATTGATTTCATGTTTTTGATCAGTAATTCTGAAATATTGTCCTATATTTAATTTTTTAAATTAATTTTGAATTCTAATATAATAATGTTTGCATTTAAAATGGATATATTGAATTATGTATTCAATTATATAGCAAATATATATTATATTTTGAAAGTTCAATAAATAAAAAGTATACTTTTTATAGTTACTACGAACTTCTGTTATGTCTGTCCCCTGTTTAATGGATTAAATATAATTCTTACATTTTAAATTGCAGAAGGTAAAATTTTCAAGTTTTTACATAACTGATATTCAAAAACATACGACATCGGTAAGATGGCAAAATATTCAAAAACTTACGAATTCGGTAAGATGGCAAAATTTATCCTATAATCTGTCTATGATCTTGATTTGTTGGACAATACAATTTTTCAGTTACAAGTAAACATTTTCAATTAAATTATATTTTATTTATTTTGCAATATTCGTACAAAAAATAATTGTTTCTATTAGACATTTGTTGAACAAACTCGTTTAACTGATTTTGCACGTAATAAGTTATTTTCTTTCTCTATTTGAAGAACATGTTTCAATTTATCAATATGACTCAAGTAATCAATTTCATTTATAACATAACTTAGTTCTAATTTTTCAACATGTGGTACTAATTTATGTGCATTATTCAACATATGTTTAAATATTCGAACTTGTTTAGGTATTAGAATAGATATTGCAGTGCCGGATTTACCTGCACGTCCTGTTCTTCCTGCTCTGTGAATATAACCATTAATATGTTTAGGAAGATCATAAGATATTACTAATTGTACATTTGGAATATCAACACCTCTTGCTAATGCATCTGAACATACGAGTCTGAAAATATAATAAAATTACAACAAAAATTCATAAAGTTATTGAAAATTAAATTTTAATAAATAATAAATATAACGTACATTTGAATTTTTTCAGTTATAAATTTTGTAAGTACATCTTCACGTTCTTTTGACGCAAGTTGTGCAGAAAGTTCTCCGACTACTATATTTTTTTTAGATAAAAATGACTGAAGCAAAATAGTTAATCTATGAGCAGTTTTCCCAGAATTTGTAAATACTAATATTTTGGAAATACTGTTTCTGGTTATTAGCTGATATAAAGCTATTGGTTTATATTCTGCTTCGCATTCTACTGCTTCTTCTTTTAATTCTTCAGGGCTTGTATAACGGCCTATAAAATTACTCACTTCTTTATCTAAATTTACATTATCATCTTTGCCTGTCACCAAAACAGATGTGAATAATATTGGTTGAAAGAGTCCAAAGCGACTAAGCTTTTCAGGATCTTGTGATAATGTTGCACTGAATAGTAATTTTTGAGCTGGAATTTTACTATTTAAAAATTAAAAAATTACTATAAGTTTAATATTAGATAATATACCTCCATATTAACCTTCACCTGGCAGATACTGGATTTAGATCAGTTTGTATAAACAATTATTCTATCTCTTTAAAGCGATAAGACAAAGATAAACATTCCTAAAATTCGTCAATTTATATATTATAAACACATTTATCTTTCTAATAAAATAGATAACAATTGAAAACAAAAAAATTAAAATTATATCTGCTATATAGTGAATTATTAGGCCATCTACCATTTGAAAGTTAATTTTAGTAAATGATTATCATTTACTAAATATTAAAATAAATATCAGCTTAAATTACAATCAAAACCAACCTAGAACGTAAGTTGAAAAGTGTTAATCGTGGAGTTCGATAATGAGGTTCGGGAAGATATTCTAACCAATCTACAGCTTTATCTGCTTCATCAATAACAAGAAATCTAAGATCATCCAATGAAAATCCTGATGTTTTTAATATATGATCTATTAATCGTCCAGGTGTAGCAATCACTATATCCGCTATAGATACATATTTTCCTCTAGCATCTGAAAATAATAATTATAAAAAATATTTTATATTTTATTAATTATATAAGTAAAATTTTTTTCTTAAAATTTATAACTGCATACTTTCTCTCAGAATACTTCTTTGTTCTTCATAAAATGATGATGCACCAGAAAGTAAACCAACTCTTAAATTTGTATGCGAAATATATGTAATCATTACTTTGTAAATTTGTGCTGCCAATTCTTGTACAGGTGCAACAACTAAACAACGTATTTTTGGAACTAATCGAGACTGTAATATTTGAACAATAGGTAGAACATATGCTAAAGTTTTACCTAAAAAGAAAATAAAATTAACATTTTTAAACATAAAACTTTAATTTATTGAAATAAAATACATTTTTTGTAAAAGAATATAGATTTTATAATTTTTTATTAAATAAAGATTACTAAATAAAATTTAATGATATTAATTATTCTAAAAATTTAATATTATTCAGTAATTTGTGATATTTTTATACTTTATAAAATTAAAATCATAAAATTTTCTCTCTCTTATTTGACAATTTCTCTCCCTTATTTGAGAATTTCCAAATAGACAATATGTTTAATATAAGTTAATAGCAAAAAAAGAAATTATAAAATAAGAGTTCAACAACTGCAAATGTATTAATAGAACATGTCAAAGAATTAAAACTAAAATGTAAATACTTCAATTATAAATACTATGTGCTTCCATACCACTGCCTGTAGGAGCAGATATACATGCATCTCTTAACCACCACCTTTGTTTTCTATCTTTATCACACTTCAATAGCCAAGATATCATATTAGCTTGAACAGGAAATAATTTGTTAATATTATTAGCTCTTAAAGCTGTAATAAGTTTAATATCTAAAATTGAATTCATTTCTTCTAACGTTGGGCCACTATTTAAATCAATAGACATTAATTTTGGATTAGCCAACCATTCCGGTAGAATTCTCTTAACTTTGTACTTCTTTTGTTTATTTTTTGTACCCATAATTATAAAATCATTACATTGATCTATTATTTTTTCTTGTGTTTCAATTGAATCTAATGATTTATTAGATATTTCATTATTCTGATCATCTACATTTTCATTTTGCAATGCTTTAGCTGCATTTTTTTTCTTTTTGCTTTTTCTATGATTTGAAACATGTATTTTTTCCTTTTCTTTAACATCATTTAATATATTTTTTTCATTCAAATTAATATTTTCTGTTGAACATTCATTGAGATTTTCTGCTTTTCTCTTTCTTTTTTCATAATTTAAGTCTTGAGTATTTTGAGAACTATTTGCCTGTGTTTGACAATTATTTTTAATAGCTCTTTCTAGTTTACGTTTTTCTATCCTTTTTAGTAATTCAGACAAATGATTCCTTTCATTTTTTGTTTCTTCTTTCTCACCTTCATATCTATTAAGAATAATAATATATATTAACAATAGTCCAGGAAAAGAAGTTAAAAATTTGATTACAATTAGATAATAATCAATATTTATTTATAGTTTAATTCATTATATGTATTATTATTAATTATATGTATTTCATTTAGTAATGAAATTTAGTAATATATATATATATGTACGTTACATTTTCTCAATATTTTTACATACCTGTTTATTACGAATAAACTCATTTAGTTTGCACTTATATTACTCACGTGTCATGAACATTTAATAGGTTATGTTCAACTCTTATAATATAGATAGGTAAGTAAGTATCTCGAAAAAGGAATATTCATAATTTTATTAAATTTTAGTAATATTTAGTAATATTTTAATAAATTTAATGGTATTTTATCATTGTTACATATATATGTAACATTTACATATGCATCTGTATTTATGTAAACAATAAGTTATATTTTAGTAAAGGTAAAAAATTTAAATAAACTTAAGAAAGTATATAACGATAAAAATACATACATATAACACTTATACTATAGTAATGATAAATTAAAAAAATTTTGATTATTTTTTCAAATTGCATCATATAATTTTTAATCGTTTTAATTTTATAATTTTTATAAAAGATCTTTCATAATATATCATAATTCATAATATTTCATAATCTTTCATAATCAAATTAACATTTTAACATATAAAATATATATGCATAACAATTTTTAAAATTTCATAATTTATATTAATATAACATAATTTATATAATATAACATTTAATAAACTTATAAAATAAAAAATAAAGGCTGAAGTTATAAAATAAAAAATAAAGGTTGATGAAAAATAGTATAATCGTATTAAAAATCTTGTATGTTCATATACGTAATATTTACGTTATTAAATTAAAAAATTTAAAAGAATAGAATAAAAATATAGAATTGTTCATTAGAAAAAGGAATTATATTTTATTTGAACAATCTTAGATTATATATTGAATTAAACTTTCAGAAGGATAAATAATAGTCTAGATATAAATTTATTTACCTTGGGAAATTAACTTTCCACATGGTTTATCTTTGGAAATGAATCTTTAAATCACTTTTATGTGTTATTGTTGTGTTATTATGTATTACAGTATTAAATATATGTAACTAAAATATTTAACTAAAAATACAAATTAACGAAAATACTAATACTGGCTTTATTATTAATAATGAATATACATATAGAAAAAGAAAAATTAATGAAGAAAATGAAAAAATTTCCAAAAAATATTAGAAATATATCTAAGTAGCTCAGAATATGTACATATATGTAAATCTTTTTATATTTTTGTTATTATTTTTTTAAATAATATTATGCATAATGCAATTATTTATACTGTAATAAAACAACATATTATAACTTTATACTGTAACAAATACAAAATATGTATAATTAACTATATAATGAAATAAATACAAAATATGTAAAATTAACTATATAATGGAACTCTAACAAATACAAAATATGTATAATTAACTGTATAATGGAATGATTTGCTTAGAAAAATACTAAGACATCAGATAAAAATAAATAAATTTGGATACACAGATAGATTGCAATAGACAAATATTGTCAAAAATAAAAGTAAAAGTAAAAATAAAAGTAAAAATATATAGGAAAAAACACTTGAAACTTAAATATTAGCATTTAACAATTTTTGAAAAATTTTACACAAAGTCATAAAATTAGTGTGTTAGATATATAACATGACAAGAATTTCAATAAATGTTTTGTTATAAACAATACCATATAGAATTCATTATTCATTCATACTTTATGTATTATTGGAAATAATAACTTAAACAAAGATGTAAAGTGATTGAAATTTTTAGAATCATATAAATTTAAAAAAGTCTATAAATCTAAATCATTTGTAAAAAGTTTAAATGAAAGATAATGATACCTGTCAATATAATCAAAATTAGGTGATAAATACAGATATAATATATATGTTTATAAGTAATAAATTAATTAGTAATATTATTTTGAATTAGTCTTTTCTCATTATTTATTGCGTTGAAAACATTCTATCTAAAATTGTATTATAATTTTAATATATTTTACATAAAAAATATATTTGTGTATTATTGTTTTTTTT